TATAGTTGAATCGTGAGAAGCAACCTGTGCCTGACTTGTATGAGAGATCAATGAGGAAAATAGGAAAGAAAAAAAGTGGAGTGCTTTTGCAGTTGCTGCTTTTATTAGCCAATATTTTAAAAATAAGGAATACAAAATTTTAGGATTTCAAGTTAAAGGATCAACTAAGGACATGATTTATTTAGATTCTAAGAAAGATATTTATTGGTTTATAATGTGAGGAATCACATTTTATTGGGAAGGATAAATGTCAGGGCTAAAGGTTTTGGGAATTGAATTTCTAACTGTTATTTTCCAGCTTTATTAAGGCATATTTGATGAATAAAAATTGTATATATTTAAGGTTTGCATCGTGGTGAATTAAAGGTGTACATTGTGGAATGATTAACATGGTCAAAGTAATTAATATATTCTTCACTTCACATAGTTACCTTTTTTTGTGGTGAGAATACTTAAGATCTCTGTTTAATGCTTTACTCTTAGTAAATTCCAAGTGAGCAATACATTAACTGTAGTCACCATGCCATATGTTAGGTTTCCTGAGATTTTTTTTAATTGAATCTTTCCTGTTCATATTCATAAAAGGTCTATTTTGTCTGAGTTGAGTCTTACAAAGAAGTAAATGGAAAATATAAATTCTTTGTAATTCCACAGTTAAAATTAATTCATGATTTCATTTATATCTTAATAAATAGGGAAATATGCAATAGTATTTTCACCCTGTCATGCTATGTAGTAGGATTTTTTTTCATATTAAGTATAAGAGGGGGAGAAACATGAGGGAAAGGGAAGCAAGCTATTTTGTTTGTGAGATGATATTTATACAATGGCATATCCATAATGTACCTTAGTAGCTTGAGAAAGTGTAAATTTCTATAATAATATGTGTTATGGTTGTTATTATGGAGATTTTGCTAGAGATCTTTGCAAATACCACCTCAGGCAACAGTAGGAAATTCACCAAATTCAATGTAGTTTTCATATTTATCAAAATTGATGTTTATTATATTTTGGTTAACATCAAGTTATGGACTTAATTGGCTCCATTAACAAAATGTAGTAATGGTTATTTACTCATAAGAATTTAGTATTGTTTCTGAAAAATGGTGTATCATAAATGGAAGAAAAATAGATGAATGTGGAAAAACTTTGAAATCTCTGACTTGATATTAATAAACCCTACTACTGTGAAAACCCTTTGAAATCTGTGACGTGATATTGTTTATCCCTACTGCATATCAATAACACTTTTCCTTAAAATTAGAGGATATAAAATGATGTTATTATATTGTTATAGTCTGAGTTTACTTGTTTTCTTTTATATTTACATAAATAAATATATACCTGTATAGAAAATTTGAAGGGATAAATAGAAAAATGCTATGGAGTAATTAAACCTTGCCAGGTCTTCCTGATTACCGTTCAGTACACAAAGCTACTGCTAAATTACATATATCTTAAGAGGGAGATTGGCAACAATTATTAACAATTAGCACAGATTAGTTTATCAGATTAGCTTGCACATGCTGAACCCCTAGGGAATAATAACAAATGAAGTATTATTCCCTAGCTCCAAAGAAAAATATCTTATTAATTAAATAACAAAAAGTAAGATTTCCACAATTTGAATATGCCAGATCTAACTTGATTTCTGTTGTTGTAATGATTTTTGAATGATATACTCAAAATACACAAAAGTAAAATAATTTTAGCAGTTGAAATTGTGTTTTGGCTGTTTTATAAAGTTATCTCAACAACAACAACAACAACTACAATAGCAACAACTATTACCTACAATTGTATAGTAAATATGTACAGATTGGGAAAACAGGAGAGAAACTGCTTTGAGACAGCTAGTAAAGGTGGCAAACATCTATCTTTGTAAAAGTGGACATGAGCCAGCATCTTTTTCCCTGCTTGATAACTTGTAATAGTTTAATTTTGTCTGAAGTGACGTATATCCATCCATACTTATAAAGCACTCATTGTTTTCTTTGTTGCTTCTACTGCTTCCCACTCACCATCACCTGCTTTCTTCTCTCATCATTAGTGTTTGGATGTTTTGTTTTGTTTTTCTTTGTTTTCCCTACCCCTTCTTATACCTAGATCCTGGGAGACAGAAACCTATGTGAGACTTCACAAAACTTCCTCCACTGGCCTGAGATGCTGTTTAAATCTGGTATGTATGGGGTTTGGTGAGAGCACTGCATGGGGTTGTGCCTGAGCTGCTTCTAGATCTGCTACTAAATCATTATGGGACCTGGAACAAATTTCTTCTATCTGGACCTCAGTTTCCTCATCTGTAAAATGTAGGAATTATATTTAATTATTTCAGGTTAATTTCAGCTACATTCATCAATCAATAATTCTCTTTGGTGGACCAGACAGCCTCTTTTTGGAATATGGAGCTTTTGAGGAAAGGTTTTCCAGTGAATGGGGATATTAATAAAATTTAAATTTAGTTTATTAAAGCTTTTAGATGGTTCCTTTGATAAAGGAATTCAAAATAAGTGTATTCACTCATCATGGTACAATATCTGACACCCACAGATTCATAGACACTTGGCACAGAAAAAGAAATATTTATGCACCCACGATATTGAGGAGGACTGAAAATTATGTGTGGATAATTTCAGCTTTGTTTAAAAGGAGGTTCACAAATTCACAAGGTTAAGGGATGCAGTATTCTGGTTATCATTTGTGTTCACATGAAACAAATTATTCTTCTAGTTTCATTGTCAACACCGGGTACTAGCTTTAAACAGGCATTATCTAAATCCACCAATAGTCAATTTGAGAACTACTTGAACTAATCCTGACAGTGGGAGAAATGGAGAGTAGGGATACAGGAGGTCCTAGTTCTAGCCCTCAGTTTTATGATCTGTAAAGTTAGATTAAGAAAGGAAAAGGGAACTTCCCACAAACGCTACGGAGGGCCACCTCTTCACTTAGGCTCAACATTCCGACGGCTCAGCATTCCATGGAGGGTGCCCATTATTCTGAAATCTATGATCACCTGTTGCTTCCCGCTTAGTTTTCTTCCCCTGAATTCATGCTCACTCGGTGTAGGTGTGTTGTGTGTGTTTAATCTTGTGAGAGTCTTTAAAGCATGCCCACTGATTTTCAAACAGTTTCTCAAGGAAAACAAACTTTTAAACAGCTTTTAAGTGCCTGGAAAAATCAACGACCAGTTGCCTGGCCAACCACTTCACCCCGCCCCCCACCTTGCCAGAGTCGGGCTAACGCTACGTCACCCTCAGCCCGCGGTTCCTGGTCCGTTGGCTGCGAGCGAGCCAGGACGGGGGCGTGGGGCGGTTGGGACTGTTCCTTCACAGACCTAACAGTCCGGTTGGCGGCTGAAGGGATCCAGGCCCAGGGCGTCCGAACCGATGGGATGGGGGAGAGGCAAGTAGCGAGGTTGCCTGCTGTAGCCCTCAGAACGGCTGTAGGGGGAGGCAGGGAAGCGTTTATAGCTCTGAGAACCATCTCCTCGAAAGCTCTAAACCGCGCTGCGGTCGGACGAGAACACCGGCATTTCGGAGGGAAGGAGATATATTTGACTACCTGGTCAAAAGCGGGGAGGCAGTACAAAAGACCAGACGTCTCTGGGTCGCCTGGCCTCAGGTGATCGCACTGCCTGGGTTTCTCACTAATTCTCTCCGTTTCACGTTGTGTAGATGGCGGTCTTGACAGACTAGTGGGGGATTTCGGTGAGGATAGAGCTGGGAAATATTTTTACGAGCTTACAAGGACCGGAAATAAGCCCGAACCGCGACTATTAAGTTGTCCAACTGACAATTTGGCGGGACGGGGATGGTAGTTTCATTGATTCTCGGAAGTGAAAGACTCTTCGAAGAGACTCCTTCACATGGATAGCGTGAGGCAAAACGAGGACAAAAAAGGAGGAGGGGGGGCATAAGCTCTGAGAAAGTGAACTTCAGCTGAACATGAGGAACATTTCTCAGCATTTTCGCTGTCTACAAGCACACACTACTGCCTCCGCAAGCTCTGGGCCCTTTCTGTTTGGCCATTCCAACCGCAGCAGGATGGTTGACCTTTTGATTAGATAACACCTCTATTGTTTTAATCCCCCTAGTCTATGATCACCTTTTGTGACCCCCCCCACCCCCGCAACATTATTTATATAATTCTTTTGTGGTCAAGTCAGCTGATGCTTTAGAAATTCTTTTTTGGTTAATTTTAAGTGTTAACACCTTATTTTCATAAATATGATTATTGGGACTTCTATTGTGCGTTTAAAACACAGTAAGCTTAATTAAAATGCTAACAATTAGGAGCCTTTAATTTCCAGTTTAGCACCCCACTCATGCTATAGTCCCAAGCCTTTCAGTATAAAGCAAGGTTAATTAGCTCTTTTCAAAGCTAGTCAACGTTCATTGGAATAGACTCAGGTCTTAAAGAGGGAAATTTTCCATTACCTTAGATCACTGATAGTTTATTTTTTAAAATTGTCTCAACAGTTTTTGTTTCCTTTCTTTCCTTCCAACCCAATTTTGTTCTTAAGAGCTGAAATGAAAACCCTTAGTGAATATTTTGTATAAACAAACGACATATTTGTAAGAGTAGAAAAAAGGACACAGTCCTTTTCTTATCTAGAGTGAAAGAAAGTAACAAACTGGGAAGGGCAAAACCAAAATATTTAGGTAGATTAGATAAATAATGTAAATATTAATTAGCTAAAAATAATAGACAAAATTATCCTGACTGCATACCAAAATCCCTTTTCCCCAAAAGTAGTCGTTTTTAGGTCATGTTATAAAAATCATGAAAAACACAACTATGCGTATTAAATTAGGAAATTCCTTTTTCTTGGCACAAGCATGCAGCACTCAATTGTTAGATATACTTGAATGAAATGAAATGGTTTCTATTTTTATTTTAACAAACTTTCTTCTGAAAGCCAGAACTTCCATAAGTTTTTTTTTTTTTTTTTTTTTTTTTACTAACTTCATTTTTCCTTTTTTTTTTCCCACAGTAACTGAGAAAACTACACATTTCATTCTTGGAGTCCACCCAAATTTCCTTTCCTTTATCTCCCACCCTCCCCCTCTGTACAGCCTCTGCTACCCTCACAACTGCTGGATCTGGAAGACTCCTTGCTACTTTCATCGTGCTTTTTAAGACAAAAGATAATCGGACAGTAAGCATTAAAATTTTTTGAGATCTTCCTATTCCCTTAGTAGCCTTATTTTTCAGTCTGGGATTGTTCAACAATTATATAACTCCACTTCTTTTTGGAAGCTCTAAAACTGTGTTGCCCCATGCAGTAACCATTAATTTCAGTAAACTAAAATTAAATACAATTAAAATTGAGTCCCTGAGTCTCACTAGCCTTTTTAGCCATTTCTGTGGTGTGAAAGAGATTCAAATTTAAACCGAGTTTGCTTTTATTTTCCAAGAAATTTTCTTTAATAAGCAATCTTACAAATAATAAACAAAAATTTTGATAGTGATGATCTCATTAACATCAAATCCAGTTTTCATAAGCAGCAAGGTAAAGTTAAACACAAAATGCTCTACAGAAATTCAAGAAGTGGCCGTGCAATGCAGGGCCTTAATAAATTAAGCTAAGTGAAGAAAGGGAAAACATCACTATAACATTCATCAACTTTGGTCCCACTATTTAGGCTGGCAAAGTGAGACCTAAATTCACTTTTTTTTTTTTTTTTAGGAAGTGCTTTGGCTCTGATTTTAGATAATTTGTTTAGCACAAATACCAATGGTTAACATTTTGCAAAAAAAAAAAAAAAAATTCTGGCCTCTGGTGATTAGACTGCCTGGATTTCTCACAGTCATAAAAATCAGTTAAAATAAACAAAAGGGGAAAGCTATTGATTCAGAAAGCATCTGCACTATCACAGTCTTATTTTTAAAACTGTCATTATTATGCCATTTTCTGCTTCTTCGCTAGAGTGCATTTTAAGAGCTGAGTAGTACAGCATGGACACTTCAAGCTGCAACAAATTGGAGTTTCACAATTACCAAAAATAACGATTATTCATATTTTTGTGATGAATGTTTTACCTTTTAGAAAGTATTTCATTTCTTTTTTTTCTCCTCATGAGTCTCACAAAACACTTTGATATAGGTAGAGCAAATATAATCACTTTTTTCTCAAGGTTCCTTTCTTTATTGGATTTTTTAGTTTGACTTTGATGGCACCTGTTGTATGAAACTCTTTTCCTTGCATTCAGCATAAACTTTTTAACATTTTAATTGTTGAGTAAGTAGGTTAATTAACAATTTTGTGGTTTTGATCCTTCTTAGTATATTTACAGTTCCTTTGGGATAGAAGTTGAGTGTGATATTTGAAATTTTTTATTTTACGAAACAGGCACTCAAAATAATAGTTTAATTATTATGTAATGGTGGAATATTTCCCTTCAAAATCCTACACACTCTAACACATGCTAATTGTAATTCAGTCTGTATGAATAGATAAAGCCTGAAGCTGATTAATGTCTATTATTCCATTCTTAGGTATTCAGATTATCAAAGTCTTAAACTTTGGAAGATTTTATCCATTCTGAGACATGGAACAAGTGTTTCATCATTTCCAACAAGATCCAACCGAGACTTCCTCTCCCACTGAAGTTCGTTTGTGGATAGAAGGTAAGATGTACTGAAACCTTTCAGAAGCTTCTCTTTCCTCATCACACTTCATCTTCTTTTATGTGCCCAGATTTCAAAAGAATATTCATACATAAAAACACATACTATTTTGTAGTCTTTTCAGAAGATGTTTCAATATTAAAAGTTTGCACCTAAAATATGCAATTTAGGGTCACAAGATTATGTTTTAATAAGCATATCAAATGAATAATTTATTTTTATTAATATCTTCTTGTATGAATATTGAAATGAATATATTAAATAAACTTTAAATTAGTATATTAATGTGTGATTTTAGAGTTAAAAGAATTAATATATGACTATGGGAAGCAACCAAACATTCTAAAATAAGGATAGTAGAGGAAAAATATAGCATGATAACATATAACATTTACACTTTTCTACTAGAAGAAACCAGTGCTCACTGATATTTCTGGGCTGTATAAAGGAATAGGTATGAAAGGAGGAGTTAAATGCACTTAATTTTATTACTAATTAAAATTTATTACACTTGATTAATACTTAATGCTTATAATCTTTCAAAGCAAATGTCATGCCTGCCTCCATCACTTTTTCACATTAACAGACACACACAGTGAATGTTTATTTATCCAGGAAGAAGGGAAGATCCCAAGACTTTATCACATCTCTTTATTAGCATCAAACCAATGAGTACTTTGAGATAAATTGGCAGTTTTTAGTATATTTAAGTACAGAAACTCTTCTAAAGATAATTAGTTACTATGAGGCTTTGCATTATTGCAGTGTTTTTTTCTTTACACTGTTATAAATAGTGGTTACTAAAGATGGTTTAGAATATTCTATGTTAAGTAAACAGAATTAAACAATTCATAGATAAAAATAACATTATTACCAAATTATGGTATCCTTAAAGTTTTGATTCTCTGTAAAACAGCTTCAATGTAAAAATATTTTTCTCACATTAAGTTGAAATGGTACAGTTACAGTTATCTAGCACATTAATATGAATAAAAATTAAGTATGAAATAATTTAAGTTTTGTCAAAATTATTTTTATGCAAAGCCACTTCAAATGAAGACAAACTTGCATTTTTGTTCACATTTTAGTTCTAATTTTTTAAAAAATTATATATATATATATATAGTTGATGGATTTTTATTTTATTCATTTATTTATATGTGGTGCTGAGAATTGAACCCACATATGGTAGGCTAGTGCTCTACCACTGAGCCACAATGCTAGCCCTAGTTTAGTTTTTATGACAGAAAAATTAAGACCTCTGTAACCAATCTCACTCATTAGTGTATAAGCAGGTGCAATACATAAATGGAATAAGAACTTGGATCTTGCATTTGGAAGGAAATTCCAAGTTTTCCCAATTGCTATCCCTGGTTTTATTTCTGTGATTTTTTCCCCTCTAATTTCCCAACTTTGCATTCAGAATCTGCTGAAAAGACCACTAATGCAAGAAGATTGATATTTCTCTGTGCTACATAACACTTCATGCGCTTCTCAAAGCACTTTCTGCCTATTGTAATTGTGTGTATGTGTTTATGTGTGTATTCATGCATTTATGCACTCATGTTCTATATGTTCCTTATCAAACTCTAAGTTCTTTGAAGGCAAGATGTAACATTTTTTGTCTTTGCATCTGATAGCATAATTGCAATGTCCTGCAAAGAGTAGATGCTTAATAAATATTATTATTGACAAAATAATGAATTTAATATATCCCATCTCAATTTTTTCCTGTAAAATTGCCTTTGTGGCCAGAAACTTCCAAGTTGTCAAACATAGTTAACTTGTGCTTGGTATTAGGGGCATATTTTAATCAGTCATTGTAGAATAATATAATTCAAAAAAGTATGCTATTAATTATAGGCATCTAGCCTCGATGATTTCAATTTTCTCATCAAATATAAGATTAAAGATCCTTAACTTGCTAGTATCCTATCTTTGAGTTGGTCTGAGATTCATAGTAATATATAAAATTATTTTAAAGGTGAAGGATTCAGTTATCTAAAGAGGAAAACCTATGATGATTATACCGTTTTGACTTACAGAAGACCTTTTCTATGGCCAATTTAAAGGGAAAAATGGAAGCAAGCTAACAATATTTAAACTAAACATGCCAGGGGATTTGCAGGTAGATTTATTTTAGCATATCCAGGAAATCATGTTTACATAAGTCATTCTGTGATCATTATCCTTTCAACATTGTATATTGAAGTTTGGGTACAGTTTGAGACTCAAAAGTACTTTTGAAGAATTTTCTCTGATTTTGAGACTTCCAATGTTTATAAAAACTAGCATGTTCATTTGTTATTAAACAAAGGAATTTCCTAGATTTTGGTAAAATAGATGTGTGATTCAAATTTAACAAAGAGAAATCCTAAATCATTTGAGAGAACTAGACTGAGAATTTAGAGACCCCAGTTCTAGGCTTGATTGATCCACTAAATCCTATGTTGATCATAGATAAGTCATTTGACTTTTAGGAATCAGGTTTCTTTTTTCTCAAGTTGGCAACACAGATATACATGTTCAAGAGGTGTATAGTAATGAAAAGTAAAGAGAAATAAAATATTTTGTAAGAGTTAAAATGCAAAATAAATATGAGATGTATTTTATCATTTTTCTAACTTTATCTTACTAAAATTAACTATTATTATGTTGGTGGTGTAAAGTTTGGCAACAAAATTATAGTATCAGCAGCACAAACATATTGTTTCTCTTTATGAACCTTCTTGAATCTCACAGGTTTGTAAGATTGTTAGCTGTATCTACATATGGATTTAAATAGCATAAACCAGGTAGGTATACCATATATTAGAAGGCATTAATTAGAATTTAATTTGTTTTGAAAACATTTATTGGTTAGAAAGTGATGAACTAAACTGGGGAACTTGCAAAATTAGAAAATTATGAATTATAAAAATACTGGACACTTTATGACTTTTTGTTCCACTTTTGAAATATGATCATATTGTCAAATCACAGGCTATTCAAGATGTATTTGGCAGGGGAACAATTCCACTATAGTGACTATGACAATATTGATTGTATCATTCTGTATGTGCTTTGTGATTAAACTGAAGGGCTGATCAAAGGGTATAATTGTTTCAGTTGGAAAAAAATAAGTTTTTGTTATCTGTTACACAGAATGGTGACTATAGTTAATAATAATGTATTATATATTTCAAAATTTGAGAGTAGACTTTCAAGATTCTTACCACAAAATGGTGTTTGAGGTCATGGATATGCTGCTTTGATTTATTCATTCCACAATGTAAATGTATATCAAATATCACAATGTACCCATAAATAAATGCAACTATGATTTACCATCTAAAAATAAAATAAAACCCAAAATACTAAAACATAGTTAAGAAAGGTAAGTATGAAAACATTAGGAAGGAGACCAATGTAATCATTATGTACTATTCCCTGAAATAATAAAACATAAACCACATAGATTTGGGGTGTGATTGAATATAAATCCCAAGTTATGAAATCTAATGCTTTAAAATGAGAGAAAATTTTAGGGGAGGGGTAAGATTCATTCAAATGACACTTAAATTATTACTTGGAGATAACTGGAAGAGTGGCAGTACAGATATAGAGATTATTTGGAGGAACAAAACCAGATGTTATCCTTCCTCTAGATCTTTATCTCTCTACTTAAGCCTAGGGATGGAGATTTGGCTCTGATAATTTAACACTAGTTTGAGGTGGTACCACTATTTCTATAACTTTGAAGCAAGGCACCCTAGGGTAGAGTGGGAATGCAAGATAATAGTGGAATACAGGAAAATGGGATCCATAGAACAAACCTAAGGTGGAGAAATTGCCATTGAGAAATAAACTGGTATCAATTTTATATTTTTCCTAATTTATTATTTCTTCTCTTGGTGTATATAAAGGACAATTAAGTTTATTGGCATTATTTAAAATCACACTATATGTAATGTCATTTTATCTCTAACATCTCCAAACAGAACTAAAGAAGATTAATTGAAAAATATTGGAAAATTATTAGGTAAAACAAACTTGCAGTTTCTTTCACGTGCATTTACACCATCTTGACATGTACCTCTTCAATTAATAATTCTTCTCCCCTACCCCCACTCCTGCTCATCCTTCTCCTCCTCTCTTTCTTTCTTTATTTTTTGGTAGGAGGGATTGAACCTAGGGGCATTTAACAACTGAGCTGCATCCCCAGCCCTTTTTTTGTTTGTTTTGTTTTGTGTTGTTTCTTTGTTTCTTTGGTACCAGGGATTGAACTCAGGGGCACTGGATCAGTGAGCCACATCCACAGCCCTATTTTGTATTTTATTTAGAGACAGGGTCTCACTGAGCTGCTTAGCACCTGGCTTTGGCTGAGGCTGGCTTTGAACTCAATCCTCCTGTCTCAGTCTCCTGAGCCACTGGGATTATAGGCAATAGCCACCATGTCCAACTATTCTTCATTTTTATTTATTTCATTCTTATTGTTTTAATTATTATCTGGTCACAAAGCCTCTTATTATTTAAAGAATAAGTCCCCAAAGCCCTCTACCTACAGTAATAATAAGTCTATAACATAATAATTGTTGTGACTAGTATAGATTTGAAAAAAATACCCATTTAGATTGCCATATATGAATTTTGAGATCAATTAAAATATAAATTATTTTAAACCTCTGTATTTTAAAAAGCTATTTATTTATAATTTTTAACAAATATAAATTGCAAAAATGAAAATCATGAAACAACACCCATCACTCTTTACCCCAATTCACCTATTGTTAACATTTTATCCCACTCACTTGATTTGTACATGTTCTCTTGTTCTCTCCACCTCACATTTTTATTTTACTGGAACATTTAGAGTTATGTTAGTACATAATGCTTTGCTGCTGAATTCTTAATGCTATATTTCCTAAGAATAATAATTTTTTCTTCTATTCCATAGTACACTTATTAATAATTTTATCAATATACTTTTCCCCTAAATAATTATTGCTATATTTTCTAAG